GCGCCCCCAGGGAGGGGGAGTCGGACTGGGGGGTGCGAGGAGGAAAGGGCCCCCGGCACCCACCGCCCCCGCCGTGCATTCCTGGCCAAAGGAGTCCGACTGACTTTCCCGATGGACAAACGAGATGCCCGATTTCCCCGACAGCCTCGGGGGGGGGGTCCTGTTCTGCCTTGGCTCTGCCTTTCTGGGCACGACATGAATGTTCAAGCCCCCGACTCTCCTGTTACGACGGGGAAAGATTATTTGCATCCTTCAGTGCAGTTACAAGAATGAGAGGACACGTACGAGGTCCCCAGGTCCTGGGCCCCCAGCCGTAACTACTAAAAGCTCCTCCCGGGGTGGACGAGGCCTGGCACGTCCCACCTGCTCTCACCGCCACCCGGCCCACCCTGTTGCTCCCGGACCACAGCGGGCGCGCCTGCCCCAGGGCCTTTGCCCGAGCCGTGCCCTGCCTCCAGAGCGGTCCTGGCGTGCTCCCGAGCCTCCTCGGGATGGGCTCTCCTGACCTTCCTTCCCGCCCATGGGGTGTTGGTCTGTGGCACACCCCAACGTGTGACATCCCACAGACGTGCCCAACGTCACCCCCACAGGAGCGTGGGCTCCGGTAGTGAAGTCCCCCTTTCACTCCCCATGGTGTCCCCGTCATTAGGGACCAGCCCTGTGCCCGGGGGCACCGAGTCACTGAGACCCTGCGCCCGGGGACACCGAGTCACCGAGAGGCAGAACGTTCTAGCCTGTTCTCACGTGGCAAAGCCCCAGGAGCCACTATGGAAAGATGGGCAGCGGCCATGGCGGGCAAAGGAAGCTAAAACAAGCCCATCCTTCCCGAAGGTCGACGCGCCCACGTTCCCTTCTCCCTGCAGCCCCTGGGCCTCCCCACCGGACATCAGAACAAGTTCTCCCCATGGCGGGCGGCACAGCCCCGCCAGCTGCATTTCCAGGGGTGCCACCGCTCCCCACCCTCCTGGCTGGTCCTCAAATGCCCTGAGCAAGACTGGAAAGGAGCTGAAGCCCCTCAACGCGAGGTTCCAGGATGTCGAAGGAAACGGACGCTGTGAACATACGTGCCGTGTGAGCCCCATGTGCCACCAGGCAGGTGGAGGGGCCCAGGGTCTGAGGGGCGTCGGGACACTCTGTGCAGCCCCCAGATGGGCCAGGTCACACGGCGGGTGCAGACAGGCGGGGGGCACGCCCATCCCACCTGCACCCGTGTCCCCCCACCTCTAACCACACCTACAGGGCACGAGCTGGCCCACCCGGGCAGGGGTCCTGTCTTCTGAGACCCCCACGTGAGAACTGCAGGGCGAGCAATGAGGCCAGAATCATAACCAGGCCCACAACTTATCCGGGGAGCCTGGGGGGTCCGGGGGGGGGTACTGCAGAGCCGACTGCCAAGCCCTCCGTGTGAAACGGGACAGGAGCCCCACTCCTGCCGTGCGAAGCCCCCCAGAACTCTGGTCAGTCACTAAGGGCACCCCGGTTTACCTGATGTCAGAGCGCCCCTTATACTGTGGCCCAGCTCGGGAAAACTGATGCAGAAGGTAACTTTCAAACCCCGTTCTGGGGTCCCTGGCATGGCTGGGGCTGGGGTCCTGCCACCACCACCCGCCCCAGGGGCCTCCCTCAGGGGAAGGAGGCTCGGGGCTGCGAAGCTCTGCTCCAGCTCAGAACTCAGAGGGAGGTGGAAGCCATGGTGGGGGTGTGGGGCCAGGACGTGAATTCTGCAAAGTGGGTTTGTCCACTCCTGCCCCAGGCATCCTTTCAGACATTTGAACGAGTTGTTTGAACACCGTGTGTCCAGCTCAGGGGCATGTGGGGTAGTCTGAATCGATCCCCATTCTGCAAATGAGGACCCAGGTCCCCAGTCAGGGAAGTGACACGCCCAAGACCCCAGCTTCTCCACTGCAGACACAGGACAGGAGCCTTTGCCCATCTTAGCTGGGGACGGACCCCTCCCTCCACGTTCCCCTTGCCCACCGCCCCCACCACCGGAGCCCCGGCCCTTCCAGGGGAGGCCTGCGTGTTGTCTGGTAATGGTTTCCCTGCAGCCAGAGCCCAGTGCACCATCAAATAGCGTGACGCCTCTGGCCGCTTCCGCTGACGACCCGCCAGGGAGGTTCTTGTCTGGAAAAGAACCAGTGGACAGTCCTGCCCCAGGAAGGGCTGCAGGACAGACTCCCACCCCTCACCCTGTGACTGCTGAAAGGGGGCGATCTCACCCGGAGGGACAGAGACACCCAGAAACTACGGCAAAACTAAGCAAAGACAATGGGGAAGACAGGAAAAACAAAACAAAGGAAGTGAAAAAAAAAATCCCCATTCTAGCTGAACACAGACTGATCAGTGTGCATCTGTGCTCATAGGTGTGCCCACAGGTGTGCTCACGGGTGTGCCCACGGGTGTGCTCACAGGTGTGTGCCCACAGATGTGCCCACGGGTGTGCGCCCACAGGTGTCCTCACAGGTGTGTACCCACAGGTGTGTCCACAGGTGTGCTCATGGGTGTGTGCCCACAGGT